CGTTCGAATTTAATCCGCGCCTCTAATTCGGCTTTCAGCCTCGCCGATCGCGATGACCTACTACCTCTCTGTGACCCTTTATCACTAGTGTGCCCGATTACTGTCCTTGACGATGCCGCTTCTTCGGTCCTTTGACCTACTTTTTCGACCACCGTTTCACTCCTGGATATAACGGATTGTTGTGCGGTGCTGGCCTGCGTACCACTGGTGTCCGTCCTGTTGCTCGTCGTTGCCATGGACGTCCCTGAGTCCCACGTGCATGTGGACGTGTCTGTGGTGGCTCCACTTGGAGGAGTTGCTCCATTTGACGCAGTAGCTGTGGTCGCTCCAGATGATTCCGCTTCTTTAGCTTTTCTTGAGAGCCCTGTCCTTGTCCTGCTCCCTTCGCTTCTCCCTGTCTGGTCTTGTGCCTTCTTCATCTTGCAGGAAGGTGATTGTTGGCCTACGGTCCCTAACTGTCCCTACAGTCCCTACGGTCCCTACAACCCCTTACCTACAACCCTTCTACACCCCAACCTAACACCACTACCCCTCCCCCCCTTTATCTCCCAACCCTACAACCCTACTACCACCCTAACAGCCCTATCAGCCCTATCAATCCTGAACGGGGCCTACCGAGGTGAGCCGTCCAGGGATGGAGTCGTGCAGGAATGGAATGGAGGAAAGGTTTAGGAACTGTCCCGCCAAGGAATATGACGAAACAGTCGAGCGGTAGTGCAAGCGCAGTCTCGCTCGAGAGAACTGCTCCACCCGAAGGTGTTATGCCAGAGCCCAACCGTTTGGCACCGTTAGGTGGTCGGGATGTATGCTGTGCTCGCCGCCCAGTTGCCGGTGACGCCTCGTCCAAGCGCCCTCCTCCGGCCGCGATGCAGTCAGGTGCCCACGCGCACCCTCGCCCGGCAGCAGCAGCGGTGGATGCTTTTTGCACCCTGATGACCCGACGGGAAATGCCGGACACGGTCGTCCGACAGGAAATGCCAGACACGATCGTCTGACAGGAAATGCCGAGCACGCTTGCCCGACAGGAAAAATGCCAAGCCCTGCTTGGCCACGATGAGTGCCTTCACAAGACACCTGCGCCCGGCTGCGATATGTGCCCCATGCGAGCACACGCCCCAAGCTGCAATCCCGGTTTTCTTTCTTCCGGTAGTTCCAGGTCCAGCCCTTCAGTGCTGCCGTCCTGGTCTTCAGGCCTTTGGTCCTATTGCTTCAGCTCAAACCTCTGGCTTCCTTCGGTTGCTGATCTTCACTCGGCTTCCGAAGGTCTTCTTCTTCCACAACCAGCAGTCCACAGCTGGTTCCTTGATCCAGCTGGCGGGGTTCGGGTGGTCTTCAATCCGGCTCCGAAGGTCCAATTGAAAAGGAACACAGGTTCGGGCGTCCTCTCAATCCGGCCGCGAAGGACCAATTGAAAAGGACCAGGTCGGTGTCCCTCTTGATCCTGAAAAGGACCAATTGAAAAGGACCTAGCGGATCGGGTACTAAGAAACAGGAATCGAGGCTTCTCTCGATCCGGCCTCCTATCACGCCTACGTTGGGTTCGGGAACAACGTATGTGATCTCCGCAACGGAGTAACACACTAGGGCGATAACCTCTTCCTTTTCAGCAAGTAGGTTCAGACGGGGATTACGGGTCTTCCGAAGTCGTCCCGGTCCCGACGCCTTAATTCTTCGATGTGGACTGTATAACTTAAAGGATCTTGGGAATGAAACAGCAATTATCTTCAAACCGTTCCGTGAGAGAGTAATCACTTTTCCCTATACTGCTGGTTTTTCACTTTTCTTGAACTTTTTCCCGGATTTTCTTATTTATTTCCGAACTATTTCCGAACTTCCCCCGAAGGATTCCCGAATATTTCCGAACGATTCCCGAACGATTCCCGAACGAATTGCAATAAAACCCGTTCACTAAGCTACCCCAGAGCTATACGCGAAAGTGAGCCGCGCCATCTGCGCGCTTGCGCAACTTAATTACATGAATTTGTACTATTACTCTCTCACGTTTCACTCAATATCTTTATTTATTCAAATCATATACAAATACAATTTATCAATATAGGTAGTACAAAACAATATCTACACCATGATATACATCATATCTTCATATCATAAAAAACCTTTTATTTATTAAACGAAAACTGCCTATTTTACTCACAAGTTCGAAATCGAAATTTCTTAAATATTTAACACAGAAAGTTAAAACAATGTTTCTCACTTGAATTTATACATAAGCTAACCAATACAATAGTTTAATTTACATTTTTTCTATTTATTTCACTATTTAAAACACTTTTAAATTTCTTATACAAAACTATCATTATTTCACTTATACACAGGAATTTTCACATGAAAATAACACAGAATTTACCTTTTTAGCACGTACAATTAACCTGAAATATTTTACAAGTAATTTTTACATAAATCACTGAATTACAAACATTTTAAATTTTTACATATTCGGCCTCCTAAGGGCGTGGCCAGCGTGCGTCTATGAACTCACGCTATGTGAACAACTAACTTTGCACGGCTCTCGGCTATCAGAAAAAATCAAATTCTGATATACACCAATTTTGACCATATTAGGCAAATTAAATGCTTTTATACAATTTTCGAACTGTATGAAACTATCTTTAATCAGATAACAATATAAATGAATGTTCTCATTAATCAATCATAACAAATAGGCATTTGTTTTCGTACAAAACGTATCAAACTTATACAAAACAACATTTATGCAATTAATATCCATTAATTCTGCCTATGCACAGAGTGATTATCTCGACCGGGGAACAAATCCGGTAACATAATTTATATCTTAAATTCCTTACGAATTTATTAAGCGATATTACTTAGGAAAACAAACAAACTAGTCCGGCCTGGGAGTCGAACCCAAGACCTTCATATCATTAATTCGACATTTCTTAAAGATTTAACTAAGCATTCTCTTATCAGAGCGTCGTTGCTCGTGACTACCCCTTTTTTCATAGCAACGTCATCGGTTGATTTAATAAACTGAAACATTTTTATAGGCGCGTCGCCAACACTAACTAATAATTACTTCGATTACGGGCGGAGTTCGTGCAGACGAGCCTTTCCCGATTAAGAGAAGATTTGCTTTAGTCGTTACGTCGTTACGCGTGGCCGGCTTATTGACAACCATACCAGATATTTCTCTTTGACACTTTGACGTTATAACTCCATCTTTTGGTAGTTTTCAGATATTTTTGGAATATTTTACAATCGCCTTTTACGCCACCCACGGAAAGAAATGTGGTTGTAGATAAAGATAGAACGCCACCACAATTCGGCAAGATCTTATACAAGCTGTTCATCGTTTTTATTTCATTTTTTCATTCATTCATTACAGCCCTCCACAAGTTCACAGCTGAATATCCTTGGCCTCCCTCAAGAAATGCCACGAAGCATGGTCCTGAGCCACTTGCATCCATCGACTTTCTGCATGTCTTACCAGGTCGTCACTCCATCTAGTTGGGGGCCACTCTACACTTCGACTGTCGCTACGAGGCTGCCATTTTTAATTTTTATTGAGATTTATAAATATATAATTTAATTTCATATCCAAACCTAGTATTTTCAATGCAGTGCCTTTAAGTGAAAAATAAATTAATACCATGGCAGAAAACTTAAAGAAAAATGATAGTTTTAAAAAAATTGAAAAGATTACTTCAACCTACCTTTGTCTTAATTTAATGTATACACACTTGACTTTTAGCGAGGTTATATATTATATACAGGTGTGTTTTTTATATATATATATATATATATATATATATATATATATATATATAACATTTAACCAAGCATATAGAATTATTTTTTTCAAAAAAAACACAATTAAAAAAATATTTTAATGAAAAAAAAATTATTTGCAAATTGTATGTTGATTTTTTATCTCTGCATTGGCCGAGGAGTAAGAGGATTGTCAAAGATCCCGCAGTACCGATACTCGTGTGAGTTAGAGGAAATAAAACCACATACAATTTGCAAATAAATTTTTTTCCTCTTAATTATTTTTTTTTAAATGTGTTTTTTTTTGAAAAAAAAAATTTATTCTATATGCTTGGATACTGATTCTGATAACGAACGGGTTTTTGTAATGTTGTATATATATATATATATATATATATATATATATATATTAATAACTCTTTGATAACAATGACAAGCTCGTGAAAACTATTCATGCGGGTAAATCTAAGTTTTGCAGGACTCGGCATTACTTTTTTTTTCAAACGTTACCTCCACACTAGGATTTTCTCCTGTATCGTAGGAACAGTTTACAAACATACATTTCACAAGGACAAACATCCAGACCCGTAACAACTATTTGTAGGCCAGTACAAATACTTGCTCCGTGCGGGATTTGAATTTAAGCCATTGCGCCACGGAGCCGATTCATTTAGAAATCTACAACTCACCGTGATTAATTACGTGATTGGGACTCTTTTGTGGCTTGGTTGATTGATGATTGATGTTTTTGAAGGAGTCCGTGAGGTGCACTTAATAGGTGAGCTATTAACTCGTTTGTTGCTCTATAAAATTATAGTTGGGGCGGCGTCAGAGGCAGCTGACCTTAGTGGCTCAAATATGAGTCTCTGAGAGATGACTTAATATTTGTGCCATTTTCTGTAGAGACTATAGGTACAAGGATTCCACATGCGCTGAAGTTCCTAAAGAAGCTCTATCCGCGACTGGTCGTTGCTGCTGTTGATAAGAGAGCTGGTTCTGTTCCCGTTCAAAGAGGAAACGCAGTCAGCGTTCTTGGCAAGATACCACGGGGAGTAGGATTATGATAATAATTAAAGTTATTAGTTTTAGTTTTTTTATAGTTTTTAATATTGCATATTTTTCACTATCGTGTAAATAAAAAAATATGTATTAAAAAATAAATCAAAGGAGGACCATTTAATGATATTTATTTTAAGACATTTCAATTAATGTGTGTTACTTTTGATAAACTCATCATCTAAGATAAAAATTCAATCATCGAAATATTGTTTGTTCATGACGTCCCGCATCCACGTGACGTAGCCTGCGGTGCGGGTGTAAATGCCGTACTTGCCCCGCTTGCCACATCCATCACCAAAACTTGTTATGCCCTGCAAGCAATGAAACTACTTATTACAACCACAGTCCGCACTTTCCTCTTAAATTTATTATATATTTTTCTATAATAATATTCCTGAAACTACTGTTTCTGACTCGCCTATGTTGACTACGTCAGGACCACCCTCAACCTCACCCTCTACCGCACCCTCACCCGCACCCTTACCAACCCAAATCGGGGTGGTGAGGGTGCGACTAATAACCTACACATCACTACGAACTAGTGACGCATTTTATTACTATTACATTAGTTATAATACATGGGGTTTAAAATATTAAAAAGAAATCGTTGCTCGTTATTTAGCAGTCAATAATTGTGCAGATAACAGTACGCTAGCACTAAGAAACATCCAACAATTAGTTGAAACAAATCGCATAAAATAAATCACACATGTTTTGTTGATGGTGGCGTTCGCACTCACAAAAACTGTGTAAAATTTTCAACAGATATTCAAACTTATCTTTCAACATGACAATATTTCCACAAATTTGTTTTCAAACATTTTTTTTCTGTAGTTATAAAGATATAATATAAAAAAATATATATTAGATATAATGTTAAAATATGTAATGTACAATAAACTGTCAAACATGTTTATTCTTTGACTATGCAAACGCTTTTTGATACATTGACAGAAAACAGTGTTTAAAACATGTTTTTATGTGAAAATCGCGTCAGTGCTAACTCACGGTAAGGTTGAAACTTGTAGTAAAAGCTGTGTTAGCCTTACATCCCATTTCATTTTTAGCTCAAATGACAATCGTTTTTTTTTTTTTAATAACATGCAAGTTTCGGTTTGGTTTCTGTCAATATCAACGAAAATTTCAACTGCAAATTTAAGGACTTATTTGTCAATTGCACAGCAACAAACACAGAAAACATTATGAGAATGGTTTGCATGTTTGAGAAACTAAAACATTTTGTGATAATGAGAAGTCTGCGAACACGATATTACCAATACAGATGTCGGAACTAGATGAGGCCAAGCTTTGGGATGTATATAGTCTACGAGTCTTTTTTGGTGTAATTACTTTAGAATAATTGAACTGGAAGTTCGCCTCTGCCTAACCCACTTGGTGACCAGCCGTGACATAACTATGTACACATATTATGACTTCATACCTGTAAGAAATAGCGCATGTTTCTGTCTCGACATAAAAGTGGCCCTCCGGAGTCCCCAGCACAGGAGTCCCTGCGTCCACGCCCAGCGCACACCATGTTGTCAGTGATGGCGTACTGCCAGTACGATCGACGGCATACTCCTTGTTGTATCGTTGACACCTGCAGATTTATTTGGTACGATTGTACCTATACAATTGTGAGAGCCAAAGTTTACACCAGAGCAACCCGGTATTGATTCCCTCTCCCAATGGAGTGGTTACTTGCAATTTTAAGAGCTGATTTACAACCTGCTAGTCGACGAAGGAAAATAACTTAAAAACCTTCACTTATGAGGAATAAAATATTTCAGGGGCATGTGAGATCCGCACTGGACATCAAACAAACCCTCAAGTTGCTCTATAACCCGCCGTGAAAGAAAAGGTGGCCTATGGCCAGGAGTGAGATGTATATTGGCTGTAACTTTAATTTACCCTCAAAATAAATATGGACCAAATCCCGGAGCAATAAATTTGTAATTCCTTAAGTCCCTAAATGGAATATTTCTTGCAATAACATAATTCTTGGCAAATTTAACATCCACCATGCTGATTGGCTTGGCTCACGCTTAACCAATCATGCGGGGAGATTTGTTTGTTACTTAGCCTTGGCATTTGGTTTGACACAAATGGTTACTTTTGCGCGAATTCCAGATGTGGAAGATATCTCGACTATCTAGACTGCGTCGACGCACTCCTGGCTCTTCGAACCTTCTGAACATTGTCTGATCCGGAGTATGGTGCTACACATGCTTCCATCGCGGTTACGTTTCGCATGTTGCCACTGCGTATGGCCCTCATAGGTCGACCGGTTGGGACAAAACGAGGTCTAATTTTGCATCCTACGCTTGGGAGTGAGTTTACTTCTCGTCAGATGATCGCGACGTTGTTGCTGATTCTGTCGCTAATATGGTACTTAGGGAAATGGAACTTTTTATCCATCACCGGTGTTGTCCATGAAAGGCAAATATCAGCCTTGGTTTGATCGTTCCTGTAAAAATTGTCCCATAAACAGCCGATGCATCCCAGAATGAAAACATCAGAAAAGAAGTACGGTTCTGCCTCCACGTCTTTCAAACGACTCATTTCCAAGGCAAAGTCACAGCATATCGGTATAATTGGAAAGAAACTAGTTGCCTTTCTTCGGAACCTGAGCATTCAGGTCTCTCGCGAAGGCTGTTCAAAGGAACTTCTGTCAGCCATTTCTTCCATTCCTTCATAAGGAAGAAGCTCACTGGCTTATGCTGTAAAGAAGAAAGCCAATCTTTTAGACTCTCTTTTGCACCCAATTTCCCAACAACAAAGCATCCCGTGGTGCTCCATGCCGAATGTGCGGTTTATGCTGCGTTCTGTGCACGAAGCACGCCTCTCCCTGGACATCAACAAATCGAGTGAGTTTAACGAAGTTACTCCTATTGAACTAAAGACGTGTTTTTTTTAAACGTTACCCCTACACTAAGATTTTCTCTTGTATCGTAGGGGCAGTTTACTAACATAAATTGCACAAGGACAAACATCCAGACCGGGAACAACTATTTGTGGGCCACACAAATATTTGTTCCGTGCGGGATTCGAACCCGTGACCCCCAGCGCGGCCACTCATTGCTAAGCCACTGCGCCACGAAGTCGTGTGCTCCGGAGTTAGCATCGGTTCTAACGCGTCTTTTCCGGTACTCCTACTACCTAGGTATAGTCTCAAACTCATGCGAGACAGCACAGCTTAATGCACCCAATTTCTACAAAAAGGTGACCGCTCAGAATCATCCAACTACAGGCCTATACTTGTTCTTCAAAATAATTAGTCTATTATAAAGTGCCAGCTCATGAGGTACCTTGAGAACTACCAGCTGATTAGTGACCACCTAACATAAATAAGCACATACAAACGAGATAAACGTTTCAACTCGTAGTGTTTGCTCGTATTTGTATTCAAAAGTTACGTAGTGTGATAACGGCGTTAGGGAATTAAAGACGCAAGGCCAGAAAGACCTTATACGATAACTGAAAGATGGCGGTACACCATCACACATATGCTAAAGGCAAAATAGCGAAATGAACGACGAGAAGCAGCGTGTAATGTGCGAAATATCTGTTAGTACGACTGCCAATCCCAGTGTTGCCAGGAAAATTACAGTTCTTACATTTTACGTAATTTTTTATCAAGCCATGTACCCTGGTAAGAAAAAAATTAGGCGTACTTACGTAACTTTCTGAAAATCTATTTATTCGTCATAAAACTACAATTTCGGTCAGTTCGTTCGATAAATATCGTTTAATAAAATTATCAAACGCCGTTTTTAAAATATGAATAATTTAACAGTCTTCATGTTTTTATTCACTTTGTGACTTTTATTATTAGCTTCCATCAGAAACGTAAGCTGTGAGACATGCAAGCAAGACATGCAAGTCGAAAAAAATATTTTAAGCATAGAAATTTTTACTCGATGCATTATACATGTCTATGATTTCAATATTATACAAGTGTATCCTTTTCCTCACAAATATTTACAATAACAAGGAAAACGGCAAATATAAGAAAATTGTGCTTTCAATCCCTAATACGTACCCTGTAAAAGTGTTTCTTTTATATTGGTTTAACCATATCCACTTCCGACGGGAAATCTTTTTGTATTTATTTAATCAAACTTGATGTTCGACACTGGTTTTAAAGAGAAATAAAAGATTTTGTATTTACAAGCTGAGCAAAATAATTTTGAAAAACTGTGTTATTTCAAAACGTAAAACAGTTTAAAATGTAATTACAGAATGTAATAACAGATCAATCCCACAGAAACTGCGAATTTTTCTGGAATTAAAGTGATCCGTGACAGTCCTTTCGGCCCATAAACTACATCTATGCCAAAAATTTTATTTGTCCTTTACCCCGTTATTGCATGAAAGAAAGACCAACCAACCATGAAAGAAAGAAAAACACAAAGTGTGTTTGTTGGGTTTTCTATTAGTAGGGATGAATATTATGGAGGGGAAAATATCGTAAAGTTTGTACCTTTGCTTTGATCACCTCTTTCAAATTTTATTTATTAAGTATATGTAAACAAAAGTACCTATATGTATTATGATTGTAGTAATAACTCGTATATTTATTAAACATAGCTACAAGATACCTATTAATAAAATTAATAGTCTGTCTAATATTGGAGTCACTGTCCGTTAATGACCTTGGGGGATATTTCTATATATTTGTCTATATTATTGTCTCTTCATCTTATTACGGACAGATTAAGAGCAATTCCAGGAGTGATCTAGGCTATATTTATCCATAAAACTTGAACGTTAATTTTGAGAAATCTAAAAATCAATAAAATATATTATCTTAAGCCTTAAGAACATCTCCTTAATACATCTTATCCAGGCGCAGCCGGGGCGGTTCGCTAGTCTGTAATAATATTTAACATAAATTTCTGTTTCATAATATTATATTTAGAATATTATTTTAAAATATTGTCAGAGAGAATTTTTTTTGTATCTCTGAAGAATATTAAATATCAAAGTCAATGATAGATTAATTTCAATATTATCAGATCGCATCCCTATCCCTAGGGCCAATCCCTCCTCCATTACTTCCAAAAATAAAACAAAGCAGGCTTATTTTATTTTTACTGTTATTTATATACTGTTGTTTAAAATTAATTACTGTATAAAGCTCTAATTATTTTACAACAAATAGGTATCAATATTGTTTTAATTATGAAACTGACGTAAAGAGGAACAAAATAGTCATCTGTTGCTTTTGTCCTTTAGGATATATTTTGGATTTATGACATTTAGTCTTTCAAAAGTTAAAGACACATTAGTTTTGAGAGATGGGCCGAATATTCGTTTCATATTCGGTATTCGGCATATTCGGCAGCTTTACCGAATATTCGTTTAAGTAGTACCCAGTGTCGACTGTACTGAAATGTACTAAGTGAGTAATGCCATGTCTTTCATAATTTTATTGTTGAAAATATATTTTATTTATGGGCTAAATCTATTTGAAATGTTACGTTTTTGAGGCACTGTAGATTTATTTCCAATTATAGCAAATAGAAACCTTAATAAAATATTTTTGGAATCAAACAAAGAAACATTAGGTAGGTACATTACATAAGTACATTTCACTTTACTTTGGTCGTCAGTTTCTCTAAAATAAGTCCAAATAGTAGATCACCTGCCACTCATTTTATCATATAATTATCAATTTTAACTAAGAATAACACAACGAAATACTTTTTTTCTCACCAAAATAGTCAAAACATAAGCATTTGCAGGCAATTTGCTTAGTACTCGATGTCAGTTGTGGCAGGGAAGCGTGGGGCAGGGTCCGGCGCTAATCCCGCGCGTTTTACGGTAACAAGTTTCGACATAAATTGGTTGGGTACCGAGGTGATCCTGCCGAATAATGTTCGACCGAATATTCGGTTTGGTAAAAGTTTTACCGAACTTTGGGCCGAATATTCGTATTCGATGAATTCCATATTCGGCCCATCTCTAGTTTCCTAAATTTAAAAATATTGTTAAAGAAAATATGCCCGGTTGTGCATTAAGGTATTGTAAGTCCCGATATGAAGCAAAAACTGAACGTGATTTCGATTTCTTGTCATAAGTATGATATACATATATTTACATATAACTTTTAAATGTTATTATTTCTAGTAGATTGTTCTAGAACATTTATCATTATTGTCATAAGCCCTCTGTTATCCAGTAACGTCACTTACAAGGAGTTAGTGATTGACGACGTTTATCGATTGGTGTTATCGATAAAAAATATTATACAGGATGCCGATTTAATCACCTATTTAAGAAGGTGAAACAGTCAACGATACTGTACTCATACCCATAAAGAAATCGGGTGAGTCTGTGTTGGGGTACACGGCCGTTGGTTTTCACGCGAAACGTCTATGTCAACCAGTTGCCAGTTTTAGCGTTAAAGATTGAAATGAAAACAAGATTGCATTCGTTTTAAATATTTTAATACAATACTACAACACCAGTAGAATTGTAGATGTGTTACCGGTCTTTTAAAAAAGGAGTAAGCTTGTTTCTTGAGGGTCCCTAAGTTGTATCAGCCCGAAAACATCGGGGATGGTAAACGATTCCAAAAAGTATTTGTGCGAGAGAGAAAACACCTAGTAAATCGCACGGTAACGCCAAGCATCCAAATGATGTGGATGGTAACGTAAGTTTTGTCGTGATGTGCGTTGATGAAATTTGGCGCCTGGAACTGCTAGTAACAATTCCTCAGAGCACTTCCGGTGGTAAATACTGTTGCAAAAGCATGCAACTTTTCGACGCAGCGCCAGTGAATCGAGCCAATCAGAGAGAACTCGGTCGTCGACAATTGGAGCCACTCTTCGCAGTATACGATCAAGTAAAAGGAGCTTGTGCTGGGGAGCCCCGGCCCAGAAATGAGAACAGTGTTCCATGTGAAGCCGAACCTGCGCCTTGTAAGTTGCAAGCGGTGCGGTTTACCGGCATGAAATACTGTTACGCTTTGCTGAGTTCACCCAGCTTAGTAGAAGCCAATTTAGCCTTCTCTTTCAAGTGACCACGAAACTGCAGGTCATTCGATATGTCGACGCCGAAGATTGCAATACTGGCTGCGGCAACAAGAGAAGTGCCCTGAAATTGAAGAGATACGACGCATACGGCATAAACGCACAAACTTGTAAATATTTCGAATAATGATTTATCGTGAAAAGACTTTTAAATTTCGGTGCATTCCTAAAATATGTTAGATTTAAAGTGTATTTTTGTAAAAGGACCGAAGTTCAAAAACATGGAGGCGCTCAGTTACTGGCTTTACGTTTCTCGATGTGCCTTTGACGCCAAACGACTAATTATATGCTATTATTGTAGCGTCTAATTGGCTGAATGACGTAATCCAAAATGTCACCTATGGGACTGCTGTTTGAATAGATTCTTAGTTATTGGAAATTAAATATTTTATTTCATGACATTATAATGACGTAAAAAGTTAGTATGATTTTTTTCGTGTGACAGGAATCATAATAAATAGATTTATATAATAAAACAATCATTCTTATTCCCTATTATCATATATCGTAAAGCATTTCATACTTAGTAACTTTCAACAACATTATCGATACTTTGATGTCGAAACGGTAACATCCCCAAAATGGGTTTTTACCTTATATTTATTAGCGTCACCTACTGGGGAATAGCTTAGAAGTGTTTTCCTAATAAATCTTCAGTGTAGTTTTGCTATGTTTAGGTAAAAGGCAGCAGACGCGCGCGAGCTTAAAGTGTTTGTATGTAAATATTCCCAATTCCCGCTCTATAGTATATATATTTGAATCTCTTTGGCGTTTCATTTATAAATTATAATAAAAAAAATTGGAGTCTTAATAAGTGAACAAGGACTCTTTTAGTAGTAAATTATAGTAATTCCATATGTATCAGTGACTTTATGAACGACATCATAGTAAAATAAAAAAAAATGTTTATCCTCTTTTTTGTTTCGCACTTTCGCATATATTTTTCCTACCTTTCCGTGTAATTTTAAGTTTGTGGTCCTTGCTATAGTTTGCGCTTTATCCTTATATTATCTAGCTCAACATCCTATATTTTATAAATTAGCAGTAAAGTGAACGCCATTAATAAAATTGTAATGCTATGAAAATTTGTTCCAACGCAAACAATATAGGTATATTTGCGATGCATAATTGGGAGCTAGAGTAGAACTGATAATTCTTAGATTTTTCGCCTGTAAACGCTCTGAAAGGATTTCTCCTACATTTTAAGTTTCGTCATAATTAAATAAGATATAATAAAAATAAACTCTAGTAATTCCAAATCAGACTGTGATGAGCTACTCGTATTCATTACATTTACATATGCTTTTCTTTTTTACTTTATATTCTTTATCCTTTGAATATTTTAATATTTAGCGTTCTCTGGCCATTTATTTTAATAATAACACGCTATAACCTTAAAGTAGATGTAATGGAAATGATAAACGGCACACATTGGTCAGTTAAGTTAACCTAAGTTTAAGCGGGGCTTATGTTACCTTGTGATGTTCGGGAAACATTTTCTTAAGTTATCGAATCAACAGCGCTAACGAATAGATAAAAAGTAAACCTAAGAAACCGAGCACAATGATTAAGGAAAGCACATGTAGCAGGGCTAGTGAAATAAGCTTGGTACAGATTTAGGTAAATATTTTAAACTAATAGGAATTCTATACGTGGTAGAGCCCTGCTGCAACTATCTTATGGTTTTAGCACGAATGGGTCGGCTCGACCGGGGAAGGACCACGCTCTCACAGAATACCAGCGTAAAACAGCCGCCCAATGCTGCTGTGTTTCATATAATGAGTGTAGAGAATCAGAGACCCTTTTTACCAGATGCCTCGTGCATTCAATCTTAATCATCAGGAGTGACAACGCATCTGCAATTTGATTCCTAATCAAGGATAGTTCTAGATGTCTGTGTACCACAGTGTTCAATTACCGTCGGCTGGGTTGTGTGGTCGCTTATCATCCTCAATTTACAAAAAAAATTTTTAACTATACAAACAAATAAAATTATACTTACTTGCGCTTCATGTAAAATCCTCGTGCCATGGGCGTCTGTTGCCCGTTTCTTGCCCCAGCCCAGTATAGTACAAGTAGTATGCGGTGCCAATAGCTGATGTGGTTGTGGTAGGCATGCTATCCCGTGACCCAACTCTGGGCGGGCTGCAGCAGGCAGCCTTAAAAGTTATATTAATTAATAAATGGGTGCATTTGAAAAAGGGGTGTAAGAGTGTTAGGTATTCAGGACGATTTGGGGGTTTAGTTTTAAAAGTTATCAATCTAATTTTTATAAGGTATGTTTATATTTATGGGGATTTGTGAAGAGTGACTATTTTAGCGTTTTTTTTTATTGTAAGGTGATCTTGCTTATGTAAGCATAAAAAAATATTAGTGATAGGTCTCACTGATATCAGTCTTATTTTATTTAGCTATACATGAAAACTGTTAAATATTTTGTTAATAAATCTTCTTAATCAATTATCTTTTCAAATTCATATATTTTATTAGTTTATTTAGTGCTATTCTCTGTTCTATTTTTTTAATGTAATTAGGATTATTATTTTTCACACTTTTCTTTTCCTTACGGTCCTTCGCTTAGGCCTGATAAAGTCAATCACATTTTTTACGCTTCTAATGAATAAAAAGTGTGTATTGATGATATATTGACATTTTCATTTTAAGCAATATTAAACATTTTCTCTCCGTATACTTTATCTAAGATAGTTAACAAATGTATTTATGTATATGACGACTCCGTGGCGCAGTGGCTTAGCAATGAGTTACAGCGCTAAGGGCCGCGGGATCGAATCCCGCACGGAACAAGTGTTTGTATGACTTACAAGGTCTGGATGTTTGTCCTCGTAAAGTATATATAGGTATTTGTAAACTGCCCCCAGGATACAGGGCAAAATCCTAGTATGGAGGTAACGTTATTTAAAAAAAAGGAAAGAAAAAATTAATATTTGTCGCAGTAAGATTGTTAAAGCCGTGATATAGTAAATCTTTAAGGGGAAATATAACCTCAAATGGCTTAGCATGATCCTCCGTTATGCCGAAAATATTACAGCATTAATTTTGAAATAAATATATGGTAAAGTTGAGGATTAATGTTAAGAACTATGTTAGACGAAAACAGATTCCGTAAAATTTTCTCGATAGAAAAAAAAATCCAAAGTTACCTCCAAAATAAACAATAAACCGCTGTTATTCATAAAATACTTTAAATAAGATCATGAAACTTTGCATCCTAACTGAACTAACTATAAAGCAGTGCTTATGTTATTTACTTTTTTTTTTAAATACCATTATTTTCATTGTAAAAAGAAATTACTTATCGGCTTCTTGAAGCTTGATTCCTGTCGCCCGGTCAGTTTCGCTTCGGCCTTTGAAGGGGGAGGTTGTGTCGCTTACGACCAGAATACACATTACGCAACAGGACGACGTAAAATTAAAATGGGAAATAACCGTAACAAAGAAGCGGCTGGCTTGGCGTTAAGAAACAGGCATAAATATGATAAACATAATGAAATAAGTATCCTAACGACCTATCTACTTACAGTAATAGTGATTACAAACATGTCGGTACATAGCATACGACGCACGGGGAAGTGGGGGCGAAATTAGAATTTGAGCTGACTTACTATATCCCCTTAAGGCTATAGCTGTATGCTGTAATATAGTTATATAACAGCGGTTCCTAACTAGACTAATCTAGTGAAATAATTATAATAGTAAACTGAATGTGTAGAACTCACACTCGTGTAGAAAATATTCATGTTCTTTGTGGAGTATCGTGTCATGAAGGTTACTAATCACAACGGTTGTGCAATTAATGTAACAACGAAAAAATATTCAGGACTAAAGAGATAACAAGCAAATTAAAAGGAGCTGCTGAAAATATTTAACAAAAATAGTCCTTCAAATTTCTTCATGTTAATTTTTGTACAGTAGGTTTAAGGTACGGCTGGGTTGGCCTTTGCGCCACTCTAAAGACGTGAATGTAAGCATTAATATGATATAAAATATAGTATTGAAAGAATTGAACTTTTTAATTTAAAAGAAAATAAGTCAAAATTAGTTTTGACTAACATTCTTAGTCAACATATACTTATAATTATTTCCCTAAATTAGTCTAGTAAGATAGCTATATTACTAGATCGTGCTCGTATCATAGTTATATTCCGGTATATTGCTATATCCCTAGGGATGTAACTATATCACGGCTTTAACCATCTTACTGCGACATATACACTACTCACGTTTCAATTTCTAAAAAGCCTTCAATCTGTGTAAGTAACATTTGCTTGTACACTTTCATTCCAAAGTTTCTTTTAAATCGTAGAGAAATACATAATAAGTTATTGCTTCATAATTTATATGTATTATAAATAAAAGAAAATTAATATTTTCCTCCTTAAATACCATTTTACACTAAAACTATTAGTGTTCAAAGATAAAGTCATAAGTAAGACCTTTTTTACAATAAATTAATAGATCTTCAATTTTTATATTTTCCATATCGCATATTTAAAAAAAAACTAAATTTAAAATGGTTTATCAATAATTGAACTACTTGCCCAAATACTATTTATCAGTCTATTATTATTAGTATTAATACAGGTTTTTTGTTCCATAATCCAATCGATATAATTTCCTAGATATACATAGAATTTTCGCATTTATTTGTTTAACAATAGGGAAACGAAAATATAAACATCTTACTTTAACATAGCCACATCGTTTACGACAGTATCAGGGTCGTAGTGTGGATGTACGACAGCGCCCACGACCCTCATCTCCAGCTCGCCATTACCGCGTACGAATAGATCATGTTCTCCCAGGCGCACGAACAGTCGCCGCCGCACACAATGCGCTGCAGTCACCACCCACCAGAGAGAAATTAAAGTACCACCACAAAACGCTTCCTAAAAATGTTTGCAAAATTAAGTATCTACAATTGCAAATCTTGCATTTACTTACATTCTATCGAATAATGCATTTACTTATTTATCGACCGATTTTTTTAATATCGAGTTTACAATTATTATTAAAAATACAATCAGTTAAATCAAGTAAAATCGAGCATGATTAATTCTGAATGAAGAGAACGCTTGAATGTATGGAAATAGCGTCAAACCTATCGCGGGATTGTATGGTAATTAGTAAAAAATACAACTTTATATATAACTACTTTGATCAAACTCAAACATGATTGAATTAAATTCAATACCAACGCGTCGTCTATTCACTGTCAAAAGCAACCCAATGTCTTCTGTTCCTTCTTTTCATCAAAACGTATCTTTGAAATACGACCGCCTTCAGTTATCGTATCGCATCTCAATCATTGTTAGAAGGAATTTTGTCGCAAATTGGTATCTCTTTCTTTCGGAATTTTCATTACTTTTTACAGAAAGCAAATTTCAATTCCGATCGAGCGGTGTAAAATTCCTCTAAGGAATTTATCAATTTTTGTCCTCAAAATTTCAATAACAGAGACGTCAACGAACTTTTAATAAAATGGCAGGGTACATCAACGGCCGGTACTACGAATTACAGAATAAATTTAATTGTCTGAATTTCTCCACATGAACCGGCAATTACGTAGCACAGTAGGAAAAATCATAGAATACTATAATACAATACTTATTTGTTTTGATCCTAGACTTAAGGTAACACAATTTTTTAAACTAAAAAATTCTTAACGTACTTTACTGATTTTTATACAATTAAGGTGAACGATCACATAGTCCAACTGATAAAAAATGGATGCTGTGACCAAAAGACATCTACCTACATCTATTCGCGATTGAGAATCGAAATGCAGATGCGTTATCTAGTTTAAAAAAATATTGGTTGCCTGTAAAGTCGGTATACGGGCGAAAGTTTTACGTGACAACGACTCTCTCACTCTCTCTCTCTCGCTCTGTCTCTCTTGCTCTTAGGCGGGCTAACTGTGCTCGAGTGGAAGGGACGCGTGCCTTTCACTTTTTATGTCTGTCTCTCTCGCTCTTTGGCGGGCTAACCATGCCCGAGTGGAAGGGACGCGTGCCTCTCACTCGCTCTCATTGTGAGCGCATAACGTGAGCGGAGCGTAACGCAGTTTCTTGAAGTGTCACCCGGCAAACCAATTTATAAGACGTTGTCACGTCAATAATAATATAACATGTCTCATTTCTTGTAAAAAGTAGAACCTATTCTCTTTACTCTTCTTACGGTTACGTTACGTTTCTTTAAACGAAAACAGCAAATTAAGTTGCTATTGTACTCTGATATTTTGTAAGAGCGTGATCCTTCACCGGTCGAGCCGGCCCATTCGTGCTACAACCATAATATAGCTGCAGCGTGGCTCTACCACGTACTAAATCAAATTATAGTAATACCTCATTAAAATTCATACCTTATATCGGTTAAGCACTGCAACTTGCCAGGGCCACTTGCCGGGTGGAGCAGGACGGCCACCAATGATACGCAGCATATCCCACACGTGAGTGCGCGCTCGCGCCTCCTGCGAGCCACGGTATCGCCCGAGACGGCCGCAAGGTGGCGTCCGCGGCGACATACGTGTATCTTCCGGGTGAATCGCCCTCGCTGGTGGCGCCATAGTTCCTACTACTGTGTATTCTGGAATTTGTGCGAAGTTTTATTATTTTTCCTAATTAATAATAAATTCACTAATAACTTTTTTTCATAACTTTTCTTCTACTGTATTATGAGATATGACTGGTTTTAGATCTGACAGACCGTAAAAAAACCACGCTCTAACAGAATAGTAGCGGTTCCCTACACTCACTATACAGCATAATGCTGCTGTGTTTCGTATAGTGAGTGTGAGGAACCGTGGAACGCCTGTTTCTAATTTTACGTTTTTACGTGGCACAGCCACGTTGCAGCTATATTATAGTAGTAGTCCAGTCCATAGTTCCATCTTATTCTACAGAGGTGACAACGCATTTGCATTTTTTTTCCTTAGTTGAGGATAAATGTGGATTTCTATGGGCCACAGCAGCCATTTACCATCAGGTAGACTATGTGCTCGTTTGTCATCCAATGCTATAAAAAAAACTTCTTTATTTGGATAAACAAAAATCTGTACCGCGGTCTTCATAAGTCTATTTTACGGCGATAAAAATATAGAAATAAAAATGCCTATGATCAAAATAAAACCATTTATTCTTTTTGATCATACTGTTTGTCTCCAACGGGACCTGTGAATAAAGTAAAATAAAGTAAAGTTACAGCTTATATACGTCCCACTGCTGGGCACAGGCCTCCCCTCATTTCTGAGAGGGTTTAGGGCAAGGAAGTGTCCACCGCGCTGCCCCAATGCGTGTTGGTGAACTTCACATGTCTTCGAAGTATTGTTTTTCTTATTCGTCAGATATGTAGGTTTCCTCATGATGTTTTCCTTCGCCGCCGAGCACGTGGTAAATCAGCACTTAGAATTGCAATTAACAATTTCATTGGTTCCGGCGGGGATCGAACCCGGGTTACTCGCGTTCTGTTATATTTACAGCGAGCATTAACCATCTGAGCTACCACGGCTCCAAACTTGTGGAACCTGTCCATGCGATAAGTTGTAAAAAACCCGGCGTAGAAGAACAACGGATTATTAAGCTGAAGTGTGGCAATGTTCCGGCCATATAGCTCGAAGAATCGATAACTGATAGGGAAGAAAGGTTCTCGAGTGGCAGCCACGTACCGGCAAGCGAATGGTAGGACGTCCCCCCACTAGATGGAGTGACGACCTGGTAAGATATATAGGTAGTCGATGGATGCAAGTGTCTTAGGACTGTGCCTTGTGGCATTCCTAAAAAAATCGCCAAGGGATAATGCAAGACATATAAAATAATGGTATATCACTAAATAATAAGTAAAAATAAAATTGAAATTCGTTTATTTATCATAATCTTAAACTTAATTTAAAATTCCACGTCCCAGTCATGTCATTTAAGCCAAAGCCAGTCCAAATTCTGGTAGTTGTTGTAAGGAATTGTTAATCAAGCGTTCTGTAATTATTACGACACCCAATCGTAATAATTTTGAAGTAGGTATGTAATTTAAATTTTAATGCGTTAATTCTTTAAATTAAATTAAATAGCTTGTCAAGGATGTCGGATCGAATTAAGTTTTATTCGCTAAATTAAAGGTTAACAGGTAGAATTTGTTAGCTAAGTACCTATGTGCAATTTCACCTGGGTCCTTTCGTCGCTGCATCCTGCTGCGGATCCATAAATGACAATAGCTGCCTTCCAGGTAGCAATAAGCTGACTGCTTAATTACCTTTGTCCCGCATATAGTTCCTCTCTGACAAAATCTGCAGACGATTATAAAATACTAATATAACAAGACCGAAATTGACGATCATCACATTTTATTTCGTTTAATTAAAAATAAATTAACTCGTGAAGGAACAGGCAAAACAATAAAATTCTTTACCTACGTCTAACAGTTGTACACTTTCGTGAGCATGGGCCCCATGGTCCCCAAGGAGAAAAACCTCGGAACTGTTTCTGTATGTCTTCATTTACCCTTAACTGCGTCTGAAGCGAATACCTCACTTTATTATTTGCATTATGTAAAATGAGAAAAAATAAACACCTTTGGAAAAAGAACGAGTTTTAACCACCTTATCGATATTGGTAAAATAACATGCCTTATAAGAAGCCTACATTATCATTAAGGTCTACGCGTAGCAAAGATTATATTTACATAATTACATTCATACATTACAAAACAAAAATGGTATTTGTTTAAATTTTATATTATCAATCAGTTTGTTATTTCCTTATTTAAATAATTATTTTAAAAATCAAATGTTAAAAAGCAAATAAATCATTATTTGATTTGAATTGATTTTAGTGTTGATTTTTATGAGATATATAAATACATATACTATGTTGTTCTTTTATTTTATTTTTCCAATGCCAATTTAAGACCACACAGTGACAACTTTTTTTTATAGGATAGGGTGACAAACGAGCACACAGCCCACCTGATGGTAAGTGGTTGCTGTGGCCCATAGACATCTACATCCAGCCTCAGTTACTAATCAAAATGCAGATGCGTTGTCACCCGTGAGGACTAAGATGAATAGTAAAGTATGTCAACTACACAGGATGGTAACTGGATATATAAGGAACCTGCAGGTTAAACGTGCGGTAAAGTATCCCTAAGGTAATTGCTGGGAGTGGGATTAGCACCCTGAATGCAAAATTTCTATTCACAGTGGAGAGATGACTCTCCACCTGCCCTCCGCTTACCGCTTACAAGAAAAATCGACGGCGAATTCCAACTTCATTCACTATATCCAATTGGCATCCGTTAAAAACCAACTGTCGGAACATATTCAGTGTGTGAAAGCATTACCGTAATTCCGGCCAACAATATTGTGAATATGAACACAGTGAGGATATAACCGGTTGCAGTGGGCTCCAAGTACGATATGAACCTAGGACTCACAGCATTATAGCCAAATACAGATACTCTGACTATTATGTCACGTGATAGACATACTTATAGAATCTATTTAACCCTGATTGCCAACGCCACTCACACGAATCAAATTAACAGTGTCCCTCCCTGACCACGTTATAGACACAATAGTTCTAACAATCGAAATGTTCATATATGACTCATGGACAGGGAAAGGGTTAATATCGGTATTGATCAAATAATGCATACTTAGTTAATTAAATTCATTTACGAATTCGATAGATTCCATTCTTTGTTACACAATACATGAATATATAGCGATATTTAAAAGCTTTGATTTATATTCTTTCATGAACAATTTTCAATTATTTGCGCCTATGTAAAGCCACTTTTTTCATTCTTCTTTTATTCCTCAAATTGTACTAGCATTAAATTATTTGAATTTAAAAAATTAAACACTAGATCGGAACGTTATATAACTATCAAAATTAATGTAATTTTTTAAATAAAACATATTACCGATCTTATGTGAACAATATCTTTCTTCATTTGCTGCGGCGTGGACTCTTTTGTTTTGTTTTTTGATGAAAAATATTGTCTTCGCATATCCCCAGAGACGCTGCATCTAGGATAAACATAGATCGATTGTAATAACACAACAACATTATCGAATATATTACACGTGTAAATGTTTATAAACAATTATTGAATCACATCGTAGATATACTGTGAACTAATAATTCATCAATACTTTTCCGACCCACTTTAGTCTTAATTTGTCCATATTAAGTTAAAAGGTACCCTCAGCACAAAATCATAAAGATACATCTGCATCACTTGCAAGAATCATTCTGGTATGCTACGGCCACACTACCGTGATATGCCAATAATTATTTTACCACGATTTATGCCCATAATATTACAATGCCAACCAATATGGCAAATGGCGATAGACAATAGCTCAGGCGGCGGTCTTTTTCCGCACATCAAAGAAGATTACCGCAGTAATTAATGCGTTTGTGGCCACACTACTTTTGTCCAGTGTGTCCAGCTTAACGGTGACGCTCATATCGACCGACATGAAGTGGTCAAATGAATAAGCGCTTGAATTTTTGGAATTATTCCAATCCGAACTGTCTCTTTAGGATACCTGACAGAAAGCCCATAAAAATCGCGGTATGGAAAATGATGCTTGGCGTCGGATCAAACAAAATTTGTCATTTCCAAGTAAAATAGATGATTTGAAGAAGAAAAAAGAATCCTTGATGAATTATTACCGAAACCATCTAAATAAATATAAAAAATCATTACAGCTGCAGCTTTAACTTCCATCTTGAAAAATGATATTTTACCGCCAAATTTATTGACATATCTATGTAACTCTAGTGTAACTACACCACTTAACGCTTAAAACTTAATTTAAACGGTAATTTAATGCCAAAATTATTGCGGTAAACGGGCGGTAGACGGTAAGGTAGTGTGGCCGTAGCATTAGTTTACATATATTACGCGGCAGAAATTAAAAAAACTTCACTTATTGTAAAATTCGAGAACATAACACTATGTTGCCAAAGTATCGTCTCCTAAAACTTACATTATTATTTTTGTGAAGTACCTATTAAATCTACTAATTAAAGCAATATCTGTAATTTTAATTTAAAATAGGTAACCTTTTATTAATTTAGGCCACAAATTCTTCAAAACTTGAACTCTACTACGGATAACTGCGCATCTTTTTGTTATATTATGTTGATTTATCCAACCTATGCTTGGGAGATGTATTGCACTATCCAAGATTTCACAATGATATCCCACTCAATATTTTTGGTCATTTTGGTCAAGAACATATTTTTGTCTTTTTTGTTTACATACTATTGTGCATTATATACATATTATGTTTGTAATAATTTAATATATTAAAATCGCGACCTACAAATTAAATGATAAAGTATATATCTACTTCAAGATTTTATTTTATTTGTTCCTAAACCCCCGTTTTATTACAAAAGGTAGTTTATACCTAGTCTGAGGTAAATATAAATTCCGTTTCAATAAAGAAGACCCGTGGGAAATCTGCCAACATATACGAAAAGTATGAAAATTGACAACAAATGTTGAATGTTCCAAAAAAATCTTACGGCCTTTGTTATATTGCGGTTAAGTATCTCGCTCGTGTACACTTTAGAATGCTCATAATTCATAATTATTAATTTGAATAGAATATAGGTATTACAAAAATATTCTTAAAACATTTATGATTCAATTCATTCTGCCGAATCCGAATCCATCCGTGCAAATTTTAACAAATATTTAGGACACAATTTTATTTTTCACAACTATTTATGAATGATGTTAGTTCTTAATATAATATAAAAATATCCAAATAATAATAAAATAAATGTCAAAAGATTAAATACGAGAAAAATGTCACACATTCGTTTACAAATTTAGCGTAGCCAAAATATAAATTTTCATAATATTGAGTAAATACCATTTAATAACTAACTAATAATTATTATCAAACTCTTATTTTGTTTATCCAGGGCAAAAGTATCAAGCAATTAAGATATATGTAATTTACTTTGATATTTCTGATCATAATACTCATTTAAGGTATAAAAACAATTCAAGTAAATTTCAAAGCCATTCATGAAATTTGTTTTTTAGGTTGGTCATCGGGAAATTTTTAAAATCGTCGGGTAAAGAATTAAAAATTTTAATCGCCGTTATGTACGTTTTTTTTTTAAAGAACATCAATTTATAATTTTGGAAGGTATATTCTGTTTGTAGCCGTGGTAGCTCAGATGGTTAGCGCTCGCTGTAAATTTCACAATACGCGAGCAAACCGGGTTCGATCCCCACTGGCACCAATGAAATTGTTAATTGCAATTTTAAGTGCTGATTTACCACGTCCTCGGCGGTGAAGGAATCGTGAGGAAACCTGCATGTCTGAATATTTCGAAGACATGTGAAGTTCGCCAACACGCATTGGGGCAGCGCGGCGGACTATTCCTTGCTCTAAAAACCTCTCAGAAATGAGAGGCGGCCTGTGCCCAGCAGTGGGACGTATATAGGCTGTAACTTTACTTTACTTTATTTATTCTGTTATTACATATTTCTCTAAAACATAATTACTAAGGAAGTATTCAGGAAATAGCTTGATGAAAATTGCGGCTTGTTTTATATACATACATGCGAGTGATATGGTAACACTTTCATTTCTTTAAATCTCAGACAGGATATGGGCAACAGCATCAATGGTACGTGGCGACTGGTGTTCTGCGATCGTTCATTGCACACTTTTTGTCATTGTCGAGCGTGACTATTAGGTCAAGTCTCAAGTCTCTTTAAAACAAGTGAGGCTCATATCCAGGACTGGACTCTTACAACTTGATGAAGAAAAAAAGGAAGAAGGAAACATCTTACCTTGCAACTTCTACCCGAAGAGAATCGCCACAAACTTGTCGATTTAAGCAGTACTTTCGTCTAGTTTTATGACCACCTTGGCACGCACTCCATCGAGACCACTTTGAAAATGAAGTCAATTTATTTGCTGCTGAAAGAACAATGTTTATATTAATGTGCGTACTAAATACAATCATGATAATGATGACTATTATAGTATATACGAGCAGTCATGTTTTAAGGAATAAGCTCTCGTCTCATAACACTAATGAAAATGTTAATTGCAATTTATTTTTTTATAAAATAAAGGTGACAAACAAGCGCAGAGTACAACATATGGTTAGTGGATGTCCATAGATATCTATATATATCCTCGATTAAGAACAAAATATAGATCCTTGATATCCTTAAGGATTAAGATGGCTCGAGTGACGTCTTATTATGGCCTCGGTTTTCTACACTCAAATAATCAAAGAGTAATGCAGTTGTGTTTCGTAAGGTGAGTTTAGCTGCTATTTTGCACTGGTATTCCGTGAGAGCGTGGGTCGGTTCGACCGGGGAAGGATCCGTTGGGAACGCAAGGACGCGTTGGGCCAAAGCGGTGGACTTTTCGCATGTCTTAAAATCTCTTTTAGAAATGAGAAGAAGCTTAGCTCAGTAGTCAAACGAAGAACACGGTTCCTTTACATTTATTATAATTTCATTTCATAAACTGATTATATTCACTCACGATTTTGTCATAATTTGTTTAATACTGATTTCAAGAATGGTTTAAATTACCTTTTTCAGTTTACAATTATATTTGGTACGGCCATTTGTGATGATGAATGCCTTACAGTAAGCATATGTTTTTGAAAAACACACAATATGCTTGTCTCTAGCACAACTCTACATTTAATTTTTTGCAGTGTAGAGATGGCGTAAAACATTGTAAAAATAGTAAAATGTAAATCGCGTGGATGTCGTAAGAAGCGTCTATTGGAAATGCCAATAGATGATTGATTGTTGAAAATGGTTTCCAATAAATGGCGGTATAACCGTCCGTTCACGTCTGGCTTAAAATAGACCTGCGACGGGGAGAAGCGTAAAAGGTGCGAGACATCTAGTACCGTAAAACTGGAAAAGGTGCGAGACATCTAGTACCGTAAAACTGGAAAATGTGCGAGACAGTCAGTACCGTAAAACTGGAAAAGGTGCGAGACATCTAGTACCGTAAAACTGGAAAAGGTGCGAGACATCTAGTACCGTGAAACCGGAAAAGGTGCGAGACATCTAGTACCGTAAAACTGGAAAATGTGCGAAACATTTCAGTACCGTAAAACTGGAAAAGGTGCGAGACATCTAGTACCGTAAAACTGGAAAAGGTGCGAGACATTCAGTACCGTAAAACTGGAAAAGGTGCGAGACATCTAGTACCGTAAAACTGGAAAAGGTGCGAGAAATCTAGTACCGTAAAACTGGAAAAAGGTGCGAGACATCTAGTACCGTAAACCTGGAAAAGGTGCGAGACGTCTAGTACCGTAAAACTGGAAAAGGTGCGAGACATCTAGTACCGTAAAACTGGAAAAGGTGCAAGACATCTATTACCGTAAAACTGGAAAATGTGCGAGACATTCAGTACCGTAAAACTGGAAAAGGTGCGAGACATCTAGTACCGTAAAACTGGAAAATGTGCGAGACATTCAGTACCGTAAAACTGGAAAAGGTGCGAGACATCTAGTACCGTAAAACTGGAAAAAGGTGCGAGACATCTAGTACCGTAAAACTGGAAAAGGTGCGAGACATCTAGTACCGTAAAACTGGAAAAGGTGCGAGACATCTAGTACCGTAAACCTGGAAAAGGTGCGAGACGTCTAGTACCGTAAAACTGGAAAAGGTGCGAGACATCTAGTACCGTAAAACCGGAAAAGGTGCGAGACATCTAGTACCGTAAAACTGGAAAATGTGCGAGACATTCAGTACCGTAAAACTGGAAAAGGTGCGAGACATCTAGTACCGTAAAACTGGAAAAGGTGCGAGACATTCTAGTACCGTAAAACTGGAAAAGGTGCGAGACATCTAGTACCGTAAAACTGGAAAAGGTGCGAGACATTCAGTACCGTAAAACTGGAAAAGGTGCGAGACGTCTAGTACCGTAAAAATGGAAAAGGTGTGCGAGACATCCAGTACCGTAAAACTGGAAAAGGTGCGAGACATCTAGTACCGTAAAACTGGAAAATGTGCGAGACATTCAGTACCGTAAAACTGGAAAAGGTGCGAGACATCTAGTACCGTAAAACTGGAAAAGGTGCGAGACGTCTAGTACCGTAAAACTGGAAAAGGTGCGAGACATCTAGTACCGTAAAACTGGAAAAGGTGCGAGACATTTAGTACCGTAAACCTGGAAAAAGGTGCGAGACGTCTAGTACCGTAAAACTGTAAAAGGTGCGAGACATCTAGTACCGTAAAACTGGAAAAGGTGCGAGACATCTAGTACCGTAAAACTGGAAAAGCCCATGTCCAGCGATAGGCTGATGAAAAAAGGGAATAAAACCAAGTATAATTGATACGTGAGTGTCGCGTTTGCATCAAAGACACTTAAAACAATCCAGCGTAATCGACACCTGGTTATCAACCGATAAAATCAATTTGAATGAACCTTGAGCAAATAACCAGGGACAGTAAATTTCATCATCAGTAAATAACATTAGTTTGAAGCGTTATTTAATGTAAAGTTTCCTTTCATAGTCAATCTGGTTTGCTACTGCGCAAGAATGGGATATTTTCTGCCTTCATTTGCAGTACATCTACTTAAAGAACTTTCCTTTCAAATTGAAACAGAAATAGGCTACTTCCATCATATTTTGAATAGTAAGAGAGCTAAAATAACAATAGGCTGTAAGGCATTTTACCTTAGTCCCTAGAAGTGACCTGTAGCCTTCTTCATTTTAAATGGATGCCAGGTAGCTGCAGTAGACACTACCCCAATATTAATAAAAAAATAAAAGCCCAATACAAACTATTAAAAACACTACATACCTTTACTACTGTTAAAAACTTTTGAATAAAATTTCTCGTCGATTCTTAAATCATCCAAACTAACGTTTTTAGTTGATTGTTCGAATTCAATCTGAAATTGTAACAAATTCTGTTTACAATAGTTCTAATTCAACAAAACATAATAGCACACGTTATGTATACTCTCCGTTTCAGACAACTAGGTCAACCCTTTTCAAAGCCTCCATGTATTTAACATACAATCGGTTCATGCCGTTTTATTGATCAATAAATAAATATTTTAATTTGGCTGTACTCCAAAAGGCTTTTGTTGCAATTGCATCCACGATGAATGTATAATCTCATGAGACTCAGAAAAGTATCATAATATTTGAATAATAATGGATCATAGAAGCTTACATTTAATGAAATTAAAGCTCGATAATATTCTTTATTAGATAAAGTTTATACTTACTTGGTGCAACCCATTTATTTCCATTGTTAAAAAGAGGAAAACCATTAACGGAAAAAGCCGCACCATGTTCAACTCTTCCGTATAAAGAATAATAATCATAGTTCTGCATCTATATCAGAAAAACATACTTTTATTTAAAAAATATTAAATAATGGATTTGGTATTTATAATAATTTATCGGACGAATAGTGCTATATGCAAGGAAATATTATATTTCCTTCGTAACGTATATTTAATCGTATGGATTATATGGGGTAATATAAATAATAATTAGTAGATAAATAATATCAAAATCGTCATTGAAAATGATAATTTTATAGAAAATTAGTCGTTTATATTGGAAAGGTAGATCGTTGGTATTCATGGAAACGACTTCTCCCCTACCCTAATATTAGTACCCTATATTAGGTTTTAAAGACTTTATCGGAAAACGTGTACCATTGCACAATTTTGGTGGATTAAAGTTCAGTAATAAAATAAATGGACATTCTTCTTTTAAAATATCTTATAAAATAAGCCGCAAGGAATGGAGAAATTCTGTTGGGAAACGAAGATGCTTCTTACAAGTCGAGAACTGGATCCTTACCTACTTGATCATTAGTAGGTGACATAATTGGTCTCTCTTGAACCAAGATATAAGTTTTAGAACTTATTGTAATTTCGAGATAAAGAATATCGAAAAATGATTGAAGGTTATTTTCTAAAACGCTAGCTTTCATTGTCAAGAATAATTCTTCCATTGTCTTTTGCAACAATCCCTTTGAGCAACAGTTGTAGAAAATGCCGTTTTTCATGTACAAACAACGAAGAAGGTTGCGGCGGCACGTCAGCGCGTGGCGCCCAACCGTGATTTATTTTGGGTGCGCGTAATTTTGAACCTATCATATCTTCTAAGTATTAATTTAAATTATATAATGTAAGGAATTATTTTAGTTAATATTAAATGCCCAAGGTAACTAACATGTTTATCGGGATAAATAATAATAGTTGGAGAAAATAGCTTTGCAAATAAGCTAATATTTTTAATTAACATTTTAAGTATAAAAAAGTTTTTTTACACTCTTAACAAGCGCATTTCTACAACATCAATTTTTTAGAAACTAGAACTACAGAAAACTATGGGGTAGGCCTTTCAAGCAGTAGACTTTTAATATACTGTAATCTTAATGGTGGTGTGTGCTAGGGTTGTTTGTTAGTTAGTGGGTTCTTATGGTAAACTCAACTTTGAATACCGTATATCATGGTAGGGACTAATACAGCATTGTGAATTGGCGTACGTGTATGGCATTATATATTGCTATACATGTGTTATACTTACATGTTTTATATGTTATGCGATCTTTATTAGTCTTATACTTTAGGTAGTAAACTGCAGTAAGTAAGTAAGTAGTAGTACAGTAGTAAGTAAGTCTGCAGCTTGCAACATTTTTCTGTTTCCTCTCACAAGGTCGACTAAAGGCATTAAGTTTGCCAATTGTAAGCATTAACATTTCATGCTATCATTACAGACAAACTACAGTGGGTGAGTTTGGCAGAAAAAAGCGCTAGCAAGCGCTTGTAAGCAAAATGGCGATCGTAAGCGGTAAATGCCGTCAAATCGTAAGAACTATTTTCCTCTAGGACACGATGTTAGTTTTAACCGGGGAACCTAACTTAATTTAAATATATGTTCGTAAAGTATTCATATTAAAAACTTACCAATCATGAATTTTTAATAACATGTATATGTTTATTCATGTCATTATATTACTTAAAACTAATATTGCACAAAACAACTTTTAAACTCTACTTCAAAACAAACAAATTAAATAAGCAAAATGGAGGATTATCTCAGCGCTACTGAAGTAGCAATCGTGTCCTGGCCGAAAACTATTTTAGCGCTTATAAGCGCTTGCTAGCGCTTTTTTCTGCCAAACGCACCCATTATTTTGAGTTTTTATCAGAGAGTTGCTGCTGCTTATTCTCCTTTTAATTTTTCTCTGTTTGTGCCTCTCAGACACCTACGTAATAATATGGAGTAGTGGATTTTCACTACACGGCCATAACTTAATTTTAAGTGTCAAAGCCAAAGGTGGCCACTAAAAATAAATATTAAAAAATCTCAGATATAAAGAAGGCTTGATTTTTAATCAAAATTAGTTTTAATCAAAAGAAAGAAGAAAGAAGCACTGTAACGATTAGTCTGCTGGGAAAATGTTGCGCTGTGGTGTTATCTGACAATGAGCTGATAAACTTTTTGGAAAACTACCTTTATGCAAATCTTATACAATAGTTAGAATTTAAATCATAGTATTTTCAATATAAACTGCAAGTGTTTTCTGAGCTTCTTTCAACACAATACCTACAGAGGTGCATACAGGGTTACAGGTTAAGTCGACCTCGATCCTTCAGGGGGTTGTAGTTTACATCATTACTGACTGATTTGACTATGAAACACCATACCCCAAAGTTAATCAGTTTCAAGATATTGGATTTTTTAAAATACTTATAATTTTTTTTTCGTATTGAGGCATACATCTAAGTTTTTTCCGGGAATTCTGGTAATACCCTAGACTGTTATACCTTGTTGGATAACTGAAGAAACATTTATATTTTAAGTACATCTGCAATATAAGATTTGGTTAAACAAAAAGTTTATAAGCTCCTTTACAACAAGGGATCTATATCAACTTAACCTGTAACCCTGTATATTTATTATCATATTAATTAATAAAGAAAATGATTTTGCGATTTGAAATACATTCTTGCAGTATAAAATAAACAAAATGTTTATAAAATGTGCTATAAATTCAACTATTTCCATATTTGCCGTTAGCTAACCGTAATTTCATCGACCCACGATTTCACGACAAAGAATCTAGCATACTTGTCAAATGTGTCCGCAGACAATGGCTCAAGAACAATGCAATTAGTGGGTTGGTGCTTATTTGACACCTTACACGTAACATGCTTCGCACAATCCTTATAAGAAAAGGTCATCGTTTTATTACGTTTACGAAATATTGTAAGGTTGTCATAGCACAAATGGATATACAGGTCATGAATAGAAAATTCTGAAGGATTACTCACCATATGGGTACTGTTAAAACGACATAAACGTTGCCATGTTATAAAATTCACTACTTCATATTTCTTCTCCTTTTATAGATTGAAGGAACTGTCTGTGAACAAACAACATTTTTATATAAATTGATGTGATAAACGAACTTACAATCCACCTGATGATAAGTGGCTACTGCGGTTGCTGACTGCAGGAGTCCATGGACTGCAGTATAAGAATACGACTGAAAACTGACTTCGAAAAAGAAGCGTGTTTTAGCTAATAGGATTCTTTTTCTGCCCATGAGTTCATCTGGGTAAATACCACCCTCCTCTTTTTCTGAGGAGGAGGAGGAGGAGTGCATGTGGGTAAGACCACCCTCTTCTTTTTCTGAAGAGGAGGAGGAGGAGTCTATCTGGTTAAGTCCACCCTCCTCTTTGTCTGAGGAAGAGGAGGAGTTGTCAATCTGGGTAAGTTCAGCCTCCTCTTTTTCTGAGGAGGAGGAGGAGGAGTCAATCTGGGTAAGTCCAGCCTCCTCTTTTTCTTAGGAGGAGAAGGAGGAGTATATCTGGTTAAGTCCACCCTCCTCTTTTTCTGAGGAGGAAGAGGAGTAGTTCGTCTGGGTAAGTCCACCCTCTTACCTACATCTGCCGCTAAATAGTTTGTATGGATTGGTTCCGGCCTGAAGGATACAGGTACAGGAGCCAGTATGATAACAGATATGTCAACTTAGTCCTCAGAGGTGACAACGCATCTATAATAATAATAGACACAAGAAGGAATAGAGTTATAAAAATAGATTAATTAATACGAGTCTACTTCAATCTCGTTTTTAAGAAAGTAGTAGTAAGTTTTTCTTTGTTTAACAACTTTGTCACGCGCAATTTTGGTAAAAGTAATTTGTCTCCTCAAAAAAAAACTAATTAAACTTCATTTTATTCATCGTTTGATTTATGTTTACTAACGAATCTAAGGATTTTGTTTAAGGCACTTAACTGAAGTAAAATCACTTTTTTATAGAAGTAAATATGACAAACGAGGACACAGTCCACCTGATGGTAAGTGGATGTTGTGACCCACAGACACCTACATCCATCCTCGACGATGAATCCTGGAAGATTTATTTTATAAAGGTTTATATTATCAACGATCAGGGTTTCCAATTCTCTATATTCACCACACAAAACACTATGCGTTATTTCCGGCTGGTATTCTCTAATGTCGCGGTCCTTCTGCAGTATCAGACGCGGAAGGACGTATAACATATATTGCAAAGTGTGTATGTGTGTGTGTGTGTGTGTGTGTAGCTGTGTTTATGTATTTATGTGTGTAATAACATTTAACTTTTTCAGAATCGACACTTTTTATGTGAGTTATTTCAGATTTTACCACCTACGCCTATTTTAGTAGGTGAATGCCTTTTCTTGTGGGAATCTATTTTGATAAATATCATCCTGCTGGGAAACAGAAATTCACGCACTGATGCCACTTCGTTACGTAAATTGTAGGCGCTTTGTTATTCTAAAAATGTAAATGTATTTCGTAAACGTATTCACAAATGATCGTAACTCTTATTTATATTAATCAATGTAAAACCGAAAAAAATTTTTACTTATACTTAACTATCACAAAACAATACTTAAATGGGTCCAAAAATTCAATATACAAAAATCACTTAGTCCATCTGTCAAAAATAAAAAGACTGTTTTAGACGGAATAGTTATAACGATTTGTTTTCCTTTTTGTCTTGTCGTTTTAATTTCCAATATGTTTACATACCATAAGGTGTTTAAATACAAGAAAAGTGTACGCATTAATGTCATTCAAAATTAGCTATAGAGAGGATGAGTTAATACGCCTTCTAGTTAAGAGTAAAAATAGAGAGTGGAGGGTAAATGAAGAAGGCGATGACAAATACCTGATGTGTGAGTGTATGAGGATGTAGAGCGTAGAATGCAGATTAACTCTAAACCGACTTAAAACT